ATGGAACTAAGCGAAACGCCCTTTCTTAGACTTTAATGATATACATAACCAACAAGAGCTGCTCAGGTATTGTACAATATCACAACATAAGGTAACTAATGCAAATAACACATTGTAGTATAATACGTCATGTCAGTTGAAAATTTCTCATCAAAAGACAAAGTAACTACAGAAGGCGAAAAAGGTACAAATCAATCCATTTGACTATTTAAGGAATTATCTATCTATGCGTTTACCTATTAATTAGCCTATCTGACTATCTTTCTATCAATCTCTCAGTCTGTCGTCTGCTTATCTGTTTGTACGCCCGTTAATCTATCCAGACCAAGGTTAATGAGAGGGTAAAGCGTCAGAGCTAGACACGAGAGGAACTGGTTCGAATCCCGATGCCGTCACTCGCCTCTCTTCCTTTCGAGGCTGCAAAATGAGTACCGCTCGGTGGGAAAGATATAAGAGACTACATGCTATGCTGGCTACATTGCTGTAGACCCTGCCTTTAGAATAAATCTCTTCTGAATAACAGTACAGAAACAGAGATTAACGTCGCACCACAGATTTAGTGGGCACAACAAATGGCCTGCACTCATCAAAGTGTAAGGGAGACCGATATCCCAGCGGTTACAAATTTTCCTTCCTTTCATTTACTATCCATCAACCAACAGATAAACTGAATCTCTGTGGCTATTCATCTATGTATCGATCGACTGTCAATTTATCTGACAGCTTGGAAAATTTTCCTTCGCTGATCGTCACAGGTGTTATTCAAGTAACTGCGATCTTCATACTAAATGTAATGTTTTTCTATCACATTTTGAGACTCCTTGGACAATTTTTAATCCATTCATCTCGTCAACCCCCGTTTCAAAAAAAAACTAACTTACGCAGAGACAGCACAAAAAAACCATGCCGAATGATTCGGTGACACCGCTAATGCCGACTATCCAGAACAACCTGAGGAACATCTGCACTCCGAGGATGTGCTGAATGGTGGGCAGGTAGACGCCGATCAAAGTACCCAGTTTTGCTCCCTATAACGTCAGAACAAGATCTGGTGTCACCGCTTGGGTCTCAAGCAAAAGGTTCTTTCGTACCTGGCGCGGCTCCTTTTCGTCTGGACCGGGATGAGTGAACGAGCGCAGGTAGCCGGCCATCGTCGGCATCGACGACGCGTCATCCTCGTACAATGACAGGCCGACCATCGACTGGCTCTTCTGGCTGGATATGTAACGGGATGATACTACGGCAACGTCGCTCTGTTGGCGAGTAAATGGGTACTTCTCGTCCAACTTCAGAGCTAGATCCTCTTCGCTGATGGGAGTCTCGGCGAACTCGACGCGCATCCTCGGCTTGATGCTACCGTTAACCGGTGCCTCAGCGCTCGTCGCGTCGTTCGACGCCATTTAACGATTTGTAGGTCGGTTATCGTACGCCAAACACTAAATATGGCACTGTCATAATCACCGTGTTCACAACATCGCGATGAGCTTACCGTTCCTACACCGCAGTCCGCAATTACAAACGTGTCTTCCAATCAAGTCCTTAAAACGAAATAAGTTTTACATG